AAGATGTTAAAACACTGCAATTTATAAACAGTTTTTATATTCTAAGCTGAAATTTTCTGATTTTATATATCTGAAATTGATGAATGTATAATAGTTAACTTTACAGATATAGAAAAAACTCTGAGAACTAAAAGTTCTCAGGTAGATGTTATAGTCTCTGACTGTATACATCTATAATTGAAGAATAATAACAATAATAATAATTATAAGAATATCACAGATATAATACTTAGTATACTAAGAAAATTGTATAAAGAACACAGTAACTCTTATATATATTTCAGTCTCTGAAAATGAATTACTGACTTCTTTAATAAGAAGTCAGCATCTAGCTATTCTATATAGATAATGAGTGAATATTCTTCTCTCATTTCATGAGTGAGAATAGCTGAAGTGATATCTCAGTGACATCTCACTATTATAGAAGAGTAATCTGCTGACCTTGTATAGAAGCAGAGTTCTCATATTTATCAATCAGATCTTCCTATAATATATCTGAATGATATCATAGAGTGGTTGGAAACCGGTTTGAATGGCCTGCGGGATGGATGGAATCATCCGCAGGGAAGCGATGGGCCGTGTGGAACCGCAACAGGGCCTTGGCGCGGCCGGGAGCGTGACACATTTCATCTACTGAGAATGCAGTGAATGAGCTTATTAAACTACTTGAAATGTTGAAATATACATGTTGAAAGGAGAATATTAAGATGAAGAGATAGAGAGATAAAAAAATAATAAATCTCAAAACTGGTTTTTTCATTACTGCATGTTTTTCAGTCATTTTTTGTACCTGTACTTGATTTGAAGGCGAGTTTTGTATGTAGCATCGTGTATAGTTACTCTGGTGAGTAGAGGTGTTAGGTCACATGTCCTGACTTATTAATCCTTCCATCATATCACTTCCCACTAGCTAGCAACCTTTTCAATCAAGCAAGCTTTACACCTTCCACAATATATAGGCCTGAATACACTAGAATTAGGCCTCAGTTAATACCTGGCATTACAATGAAGATGTTCTATCCAATTATGCACAAAGAGACTCGTCAATCAGTTGACTTGGTTACAGCACTTTGATTTGGTCTTGTAGAATCTTTCACGATGGGAATTGCAAGCTTGTGGCAGGTGTGGAGGAAGAGCGGCAATGTTGTAGGGTCTGATTTTGCTTCTGCTTCTTCATGACATCTCCTTCCGCAATGTCTCGTAGTCGTCTCTCTTCTTCGAGTTTAGCCAGTAACTCTTGTACTTGTCGGCTTTCCATTCTGCGCGTAGAAACTCAGTCTCTACAAGGCGGGCGAGGTGCTGTAGCCAATTCTACCAGAATCTGCCACAACTACTCTGAGCTAGAGAAGATAATTTATAAAAACTCTTGGAACAAGGAATTGCTGGTATCTTGCTGGAATGGTTGGCTAGGGAGCTGTAAACGTATGAGATGTTCTCAATCCCATCCGTCGCATGATTGAAGGCTGCGTGCTTGCTGCCTGCTGTCGCCAATGACAATCTAAAGTAGAGAAATAATGATACTGCCACAGTCAGGACATTTGCGCGTGCACGGTACATGAGATATCTATGGAAGTCTGCCTTGCCGTCTTTTAACAGCAGTCAACCCCCATTCCCAGTACCAGGTCGCTGGCTCTGAATGCATGTACCAGGTGGAAGAAAAGAGTTATGCAGCACGACGGTGAACCAGCACTGCTGTTCAGAAACACGCATTCAAAGCCATGAATGTGTTCTCCCCAGTGCTCGATCTGCCATGCACGGCTGACAGTTGTTCGGCAAAGATATCAAGTCCACTCCGCTACTCCATCTGAACGAGCACAAGTCCCACGATACCTTGATGAAGACTGGCGGTGGGGTTGCTGATCGTAGGTCGCTCCCTGCTTTTCTGATCTGGTCTGACAACGGTGGGGAAAAGACAGAATTCCGTCATCAAGTGGTCCGAGGTGCCTGTCAGCAGAAGCGCTAAGAAAGATTTAAATTTTCTATAGCGAGGGGCCTGGAGCCGGCTCAGGTCAACAGGTCCGGGATTCGAATGACAAGGTTTCTCTTTGAACTCTGGGAACGCCATTGAGCGGCTGCCACGTCAGAAGCATTCACCTTTCAGTCAGGGGTCAGCTAGTTCAGGAGGCAGCTCATGGGGGAAGAGCCGCTCGCGATAGATAGGGGAATTGGCCTGCCAGCACTCCTCTCTCGATGCCACCTTGAGCCTGCGAGGTGTACGTCGCTGCCAAAGCTGTGTCGGAATTTCAAAATTAATATAATCTTGCAAGAGATTATGTGTCCAGAGACAACATCGCATCGGGGACTTGAAAGACGTCTGACGTTTGGCGGGGAGCCGCATACTGATTGGTGGAGAACCAATCTTGCTATCAGATGGCGCTAGCCTTAATTAGATCTAGTGCGACCCAAGCCGAACAATGCTGACAAACCGATTGTCCCAACTGGAATCAAATCGGGAGGGGAAACGGTTTGGAAAGAAAAGTCTGGCTTGACAGCTCGCAGAGATGTGATATATCTGCCTGTCTCCCTATTGACGGAAGTACAGCATCTCTTCTACATCTCTCAACAGCGCCTGGGGCGGAGGTTCAACGCAATCAACTCTCAAACGAAGGCCTAGCACTAACAGTTTACCCACTAAACTCACGGGAATAGTTGGAGAACGGTTGGCCATCCAGAGTCCACAGCCCCATAACTCTCCCGCAAGAAGGGGTTGCGATATTCCATATGCATATTGTTTATGCGTAGAATCTCAGCTCTAGGCCAATCACCTGTCCATCCAGGGAAGCGAGATCGATATTTCAACCATCGATCGGACATGCATTAACCTCCCGTGAGCCAACCGAGCACGCAGAAGGCAATCAACCCCCCGCTGCCAGCTGCCACCACGACAGGAGGTGGCGGGTGTAAATTAACCTGTCACACACACACACACCCCTCTTCCGCTCACCATGGTGCAGACAGACTTACACCGTCATTTCGTATCGACGCCTATCCACCCAGGCAGAAGCGTCATGTGTCAGACAAAGATCCTAATCCAAGCAGGCGCATATCCGTGCGGCTGGATATTGATATTTGCGAGAAAATGGGGAGTGTCGCTGAGTGTTTGAATTATTAGTAGAGCCAATCACTGTGCTCCATATCTTCCCACGTAGGTAGCTATTGTGTTTCTTCCTGAGCCTGCTGGACTACAGAAAATATATATTCAGAGAGAGACAGGCGGCCCTTGAAAACAGTTTAAAATTATATTAATTCAAATCGTTTGGAGAACCGGGCCCAGAACCCTTTTTTTCGAGAAGGAAAAGGTAAAAAATGCTGAATAGTTTCTTCTTTAGTACTTGAAGCCAGTTGTGAGTCCATTTTCTTTTGTTCTGCGCTCGAAGGTGGGCCCAGCCTGCGAAACTATACTTTGTACTTGTTATTCCATCTCGAGCAAAACAAATGGACTTCATGATTTTTTTTAATTTTTTTTTTTTTTTTAATTTTAAATTTTAATTTTTTCCTGCTCACGCACGCTGTTGTGCGTTGGACCTTGAATGGCCACCTAATTCAAACTATTTAGCTGAATAGTACTCTGTAGCTCCTGTACGGATAATAGATATCAAGAACATACAAAACCGAAGTAGCAAGCAAGCAACGAGCAAGGATCTGCCCCGAATCTACAGTGTAGCATTTATTAACTATAAATAATATAATTTACACAGTCGTTTCCAAGGCGAAACACGGGCGAGGTGAGAAAATGGTAACATACCATCCTCCACCGTTTTTCAAAAGGAGTGACAATAGTTAAAAGTTTGCAGAACTTCATATATGTCAGCGGAGTTGTCACATCAAACGCAGTGAAAGATTTTGTTGACATTGCTATTCTTTTCCCACCCACGGAATGACGGAACTAGGCAGGGAATGGTGATGATGATGAAATTACAATTACTTGATCTTTTCTGATCGTCCGGCGCAGCGGGTTTCTGAGTTTCCTTGGTTGTTTTCTGATGTACGGAGAACGGAGGACAGAAATGGAACAGAGATTCGCCGGGAATCATACATAGATATGAAATATCCATGGTTCCTCTACTCTCCGTATTTTAACACCCGATGTACGCATCAAGTTAATCCACGAAACACACGACACTAGTGCTAGGTTTAGTTTTGGTTCATGACGAGAATAAAATGGAGGATAGAAAGAAGGCATGATCACAAGGGCATGAAGAATAAAGTATATATATATGTATGTATGCCCTCTTAATTGTGATATGATGTTCAAGAACAGCTTTAAATGAAGGTTAACTGAACCATGGTAAATTACCCAGGCACAGGAACAGAACCAGAGACGAAAGATACGGGAATTATGTGGATTTTCAGAACGGTATTGATATCGTAACGCTGTCTTGGTACAGTCGTAAAGCATGAACCAGCAAACCTTAACAGGCCTAGTTTGCAGACCGTCGTTCTAGATAACAATAATTGATGATATCATTATTAAAAATCATGAAAATAAATAGTTGACCGTTGTGGAGAATAGACACGACGCGAAGTATTGCGTGGCCATTCAATCAGTACCAAGAGCCAATCCAGCCTGACCAATTAACTTGAAACTCTTTCTCTAATTCCCCTGTTCACTGTGGAGAATGAACACGGCATTTTTATCCTTTTTTAATACATAAATAGGCCTGCAAAAATCACAATTGAAAGGACAATTAGCAGAGCAAAAGAAGGGAAACACAAGTCCAAACACACGACATCATTGGATGCTGTTAGGGCCCTTCTGCTCATCTAAACTACATAAGCGCGATTCTCTCAAAATTTCCCGCGCGCAATGGCCAATCAGCGCGTCCCCAACCTACGGAGCTTTGCGGTATTCCACGGTCAAGTTTCAAACATTAGATGCCAGCCCTGCTTTTACTGGCTTGTGGTACGGTAGGTATAGCACCATCATACTCAGTTTTACTCCTTTCACTTTCCACTCCGACCTGCCTGAACGACAGCTCAGGCGCGGGATTGACAGGGCCTTCATATTTTCTGTTGTGGCTCAGCAGCAGGGGCGTATCGTATTGCATTGATCGTTCTTTGCTTCCGAGGATTTTAAGAGAATGAATTTACGTTAAGAATACGTTGAAAGAGATGGGAAAGGAGGAATGCAAATCCAGCTTGCTGTTCAAACGGACGTCTCCGTTATCTTAATTTACTTCGTAATGGCCTTTTCCTTCCCTACGCAGAGACCTGAATACCCAGGAGATTATTTACCCGACTCACTGATGATGATGATTATGATCAGGCCGAATGGTTTTCCGTCTGCCCTCGCATTTTGTTCTCTGTTACGGACAGTCCGTTTTATGTCTTGTTAATGTATTAAAACACGTATATTTACACGGTATCCTCATAACACATACGTACTGTCCTAGGATAGAAACATCGAAACATTTAAAAAAATTAACAAGCCAAGATCCGCGCAATAGGGAAAGAAAGAAAGAAAACATATTAAAATTAAAGCTGTCTTAGAGGTGAACATGTTCGTCACAAAACGTATGCAGGGGAAGAAGTGGTGAGTTTCAAATGTGTAAACACGCAGAAGCAAGGCTTCATTAGAGGTCCGTCCCTCAGCAAGCTAAGCCAACATGCCTCAGAGAAGGGAGGTCAAAAACCTCAGCTTCGACAAGGTAGGCTTCAAGGGGCCAGACATTTTAGCTGCATCTCTTCTCTCAATCAGCTTGTCTGGGTGTTGTTGTCTAGAGAAGGGTACATACCTAGGCGTAGGTGAAGCGCTTAAATAGCATCAACCACTCTTAAAATAGAATCTCTGATAATTTAGGTGTTTTTTGTTTGATAGAGGGATTTAAGTATTCTGTAAGAGTATTCTAAGAGCTTTAGTTCTTCATCATTGATATTCCCTACTAGACTGACCGTGTGACCGTGTCTGAGATCAGGATCAGAATATTTGATGATCTCATTATCAATTCAACTGATCTCATTACACAGTTTTAACATTAGATAGTAGTCTTATACTGTCTTAGTAAGACTTACTGTCTACTCTTATCACATTTTTCAAATGAGATCATGATTTCTACTTCTCAATTTAAATTATTTTTATTATTTTAATTGACTTTAAATCTCATTTAAGTGTTATCAAAAAGTGTTACTTTTTAAAAAATTAAAAATAGTCTAAATGTAATGTAGCGGAACTGAAGCGGTAGCTAGTCAGCGGCATTACATAGAGATAGTTATTTAAGAAGCTGTATAAGTGAGCTTGACTATCTTGCTTGAATAGTGAGCTTATAGGCTACAGAGTTATTATAAGAATATCACAGATATAATACTTAGTATACTAAGAAGATTATATAAGATATGCAGTAACTCTTGTATATATTTCAGTAGAAGAAAAAATAAATTACTGACTTCTTTAATAAGAAGTTAGTATCTAGCTATTCTATATAAATAATAAGTGAATACTCTTCTTTCATTTCATAAGTGAGAATAGTCTGAGTGATATCTCAGTAGTGTCTTACTATCAAGAAAAAGTAATCTGCTGATCTTGTATAAAAGTGAGATTCTTATATTTATCAATTGAATCTTTCTATAATATATCTGAATAATATCATAGAGTGATTGAAAACTGGTTTAAATAGAATAAAATCATCTGTATAAAAGTGATGAGCTGTGTGAAACTGCAGCAGAGTCTTGATACAGTCAGAGATATAATAATACTCTTCTCTTTAAAAGTATAGTTCTGATATTCTTAAGATTATCAGATTAGAAATTATCTTTGTTGTATAATAACAGTTATCAACTGATTGATAGTATATATACTATATAAAGAAATAAATGAGTTTTTCTGCTGACTGTGTAAATCTTTCTTTTCTCATCTTTGTTCAAA